TACTCCGCTTCCAAGGCATCACTAATGATTGAGATGTTTTGGAAGAAAAATTGTTGGAGATCTCTGCCTCTTCTCCATCCCAAACCATCAGTCATTTATATCCCATTCATACAGCAAACGTCTGGAGTGATCAGCGATTTCTGCCTTCCCATTCCGTGCTACCTCAGATAGTGTTGGCTATCTCCTGCAGGTTATCATGTTCCATCAGTTGCAGTCTAACCAGAACTTAGACTGACAGCAGCAGAACATGCTGAGGAAAACATTTTTAGACTTTCAGGATAATACCCGAGGGGCAGGTGTCCAGGAGAAGGCTTGCATGGCTAAAAATCCGTGTGTAAGCCTTCATGAAAGCAATGTTAACTCTACGGCAGATACTCTGGTGTCCATCCCAAGCTTTATTGTTCTGTCTGGATCAAAATGTAGTCTTTCTTTCAACCATAGAAGATGTGTCAAGATCATATAAACATCTCACAGCTTCAAGTATTGGTGAATCATGAGTCAGGCCTCCCCCAAACCATGTCATAGAAGCACAGAATGGTTTGGGTTGGAAAGCACCTTAAGGTCATCCAGTTCCAAACCCTTGCCGTGGGCAGGGACATCTTCCACTAGACCATGTCACCCAAGGCTCTGTCCTACCTGGCCTTGATGTCATTAGCGTCAAAGAAACATAAGAAACTTGTGTGTTTCTTCTGTTGTTTGACACTTCAGGACTGAAAGTTCTCCCTTCAAATACAAGTGTGAGACACTTTTAAATAGAAGCTGTGATTTTCACCTATTCATCCAACTCTACCATTTATGGCTTAAGAAAGTAAGAGATGTCATATGAGACTTGTGACAAAACTCTCAGGATCTGGCAACATTATACTCTGTGATACCATACAGATACATGTAAAGGAATGCAAAATAAGCAATGCCTTTGATAAACACTGTTGCCTGTTTTTAAACCTGTGAAGAATTATCCTGTTATACTGTCACATAATCAATTAAATTATAAGAATCTTTGCAGGGAGGGGTCTGTCATATATTTGTTTGTGCAGTTCAAAGCATTTTAACTTGTTCTTTGAGTGCAACCCACCAGTTCCCTAAAACACACTAGGAAATGCAAGTCCTCTGTAGCAGAAATGGGAGCCTGAATCCATTTGAAATTACTGGCTGGCAAACATTTAAGGGTTAATTTAATAAATACAAGGTTTAAAATGTCTCTTTTAGATTCTCAGCTGCTTTTATCTCCTTCCTGCACAGCACTTACTTTCCTTCTGACAAGAAGTACTGTTTACATGAGCAGTAAAGCTAGCTCCAGGGGGTGCAGCAGTCATAAACTAAGCACAGATCCAGAGGGATCTGAGCCGCAAATCTGATAAATACAGTATGGGTGTTGTTTCCTTAACTTGTAACTTTGCTGCCTCTTGTGTGAGACGCCTAAATAAATGATAGTAATCTGAGGCTCTGGCACAGAGACAGTAAATTTACCTGCCTTTTCTGTTGCTTTCCATGGCTATCAGTGTGCTTCTCACCTCAAGGTTTTGCTTTCTCCCATCAAACATCACTCAGATTCGCCTCATCAGGGTAACTGCTCTCCCTTCTCACACAGTGTGCTGGCCCAGGCATCCCAACAAGTGAATTTCTTTCACTCAGTGACTTGCAATCATATTATTCTATTTTAAAGTCACATACTAAAATCAAAACACCAGCAGCTAAATCATGAAATCCAATTAATGCAACTGCAGAGATGTGGAAGAGGAAGGGAATTCAAAAGAGCTCAGAGAGGCAGGATGAAGCATAACTGGGCCACCCTTCACACTTTTACCTTATCTGCTTTTAAAAAGTGAGGCATGGTATTACTAGTAGAACAGAGTAGTTCCCTTCCATGCCTACAACTCTATTTCATCCTAATTTGAGATGTGCTTTCTTTGCAAATTGATTGTTTAATCATTTGTCCTACACTCTTTCTGGGTTTCAGAGAAGCACCTTCATTCTGGTAGTTGAGGTTCTCTCCTTTTGTTAAAGTTAGATTTGCCGTTTCCCATCTTCTAAGACCTCCCTTGTCTCTTCAGTTTCCTGAAGCTGTATCGATGATGGTTCAAGTATTGCTTAGCCAATTCCTTTAGTGCTTTAGGATGAATTTCATCATGGAATCAAATTTATCTTAATATTTGTGGTGTTCTTGCTTTATTCTAGACTGCAATCCTAGCCCCAAGTTAAAATCCATTGCATTAACCACTGAACTCGGTGATGCCTGATACAAAATAGGCAGTCATCTCTGAGTCCATTTTTGCTTTTTCCGAGAAATACCTTACCTGTAGTTTCACTGTTTCTTCCCCTATATTTTTATCTTCTCTCATTTCCCTTGTTTGCGGTAACTGTCACTTTGACCTTTCTAACAACTCTACTCACCCCTTTGGGGCTGCTCCTCAATCATCTGTCATGTTTCCATGTTTTAAGTTTTTCCACTCTTTCATGTTCTCAGCATTCTTAAGGCTGCTGTATCAGATCTTTGCTATCCTCTGCATTGGGTCTCTCTGGCATGCCTTTAAACAGCCTCTGCTAGTGACAGCCAGCTCTCCTGCACACCATCTATCAGCTTCTGCGCAAGTCCTTGTTATTTTGGTATGTCAAATTTTGCCTTTTTGAAGTCCATTTTTCTTATTCTGCTGCTCTTCCTCCTTTTCTTAAAAATGTGATGTCACTTATTTTTGCGTTCACCCAACGCCATTTTTGATTTTAACAATTTTCCCCCTGCTCTAGTCAGAAGCAATTGTGACCGCACTCCCCACCATGTGCAGACATAAATCAGTCACCAAGTTGTATATTTGAACTCTTGATGATTGTACACTTTTCCAGCAATTAGACCAATAACGTCACCTAGTATTAAAGATGGCTCTGTTATTTCCCTAAGTAGACTTCTTCCAGCTCCTTCTCCTAACTGCAGGATCACCCAGCATCCCATGCTCCATGCTCCTTTACCCTTCGTTCTCCAACCACAGACATCCATTAATGAGCATTTCACTTCATGCTGAACTTCAGAGAGTGCACAGACCTTTCTTCTCATGTATCCTACGTGGAACAAGTTATCCTTTACAATGCCAAGATCCTAGTGCTAGAATTTCTTCCACAAGCACTTAGTAATTCTTGAGTTGTACTTTTTGTTATGTGGAAAGTCTTTAACTCCTTTGCATTTAATTCTGGTATCTCAGCCATGTGTATAAGAGCAGCTCAGATGTTCGGCTGATTTTCTCAGCCTTTGTTCACCTCTATGCTCCTTTCACACATTTTCTTATTATTTTCACTCACCTGCAGAGTTTCACCACTGCTGCTGTTCAAGCCCTCCTCTCAAACATGACCCAGAAGTGCTTTCCTATGGAGCCCAGCCAGTCCCAGCTGTCCTGCCAGAGAGCCCGACAACAGCAGTGAAGAAGAGCTGCCACTGTGCAGTCAGAGTGCATCGCTTTATGTAGAGATTTCATATCCCTGGAGATGTGAGGAAGAAATTGTTTACAATGAGGGTGGTAGAATCCTGGCACAGGTTGCCCAGAGAGGTGGTGAATTCCCCGTTCTCGGAGACATTCCAGGCCAGGCTGGATGGGGTTCTGGGCAACCTGATCTAGTTGAAGATGTCCCTGCTCATTGCAGGGGGGATTGGACTAGATGAGCTTTGAAGATCCCTTCCAACCCAACCAAACTGTGATTCCGTGATCATCTCAAAAACATTCTGATCCCTCTGCCTCCTCCCCAACTTTGGCAGCAACCCTGAGTGTTGGGTGCCGGCAGCTGGGTACAGGCAGTGGAGCTAGTGCCAGCCCTGTGTAGAGAGAAGCAAAAGCATAACATGGGATGCAGGAGCACATGTGGGTACAGAAGCTGGTTGGGTCTGGCAGGGTTCCGAAACACTGCAGGCAAAAGGCTCACAGAACACATATCTCCTGGTAATCATTGGCTAGTATTGATTTAATGAATTGAGAACTTAACTGGAACAAGTGATGAGAATTATCTCCATTCTCCTTTTCACAGCACATACTGAGAAGTGCATTGCAGGGGTACAACCTGTTGCATAGAAGAACTGAGCTTACAGGAACAAAAAACCCAAACCCTTCCTTTGCTGCAGCTTCCACAGAGCTGAATTTCAAGCACGTGGTTTTGATCTCTGCCAAGCGTGGCTAGGATGGAAAAGGGCATTTTTAGGCCTGACAGCAAATTACAATAATTTGAATTTCAAACCTGAAACTTCAGAACTGAAGGTCTTAATAGGATACCTGATTCACAACAAGCAGGATATACAATAAAACAGTTACTGGAGCTTGCTATAAGATCGTATTTCCATCATGACAGGAATGTGACAATATCCATTAGACAGATGATGACAGGAGAATAAATAAAGCTGCAACTTGAACAAAAATAACAGTACACTATCTGTAAGATATATGTGTGTGCATACAAACAACAGAATCAGAGCCGTATCAGTTACTTAGCTATTCAAAATGAACAAAACAAAAAACCCACCTTGTTTCCTCACACAGATTAATAATTGGAAAAGAAGGCAGGTTTTCCCAAAAATGGATCACCCTTCAGTGCTCTCATAGGGATGCTGCAGTGATGCCCGGACCACCTTTCCACCTGCAGGCATGCACCAGCTGGTGGATCCAGAGCTGTGCCTTGGCTGCATGCCATCACACGTAGTCTTGAAATGCAGAGCATGAGGATCCAACAAAAAGGCTTTCCTGATACCAAACAACAGGGGCTTTTACTTAAAACCAAAGTTTTATTGTAGTTTTATTATACTACTGTGTAAAAATATGAGGGATTTTTCATTCTGAAATGCTTACAAAAACCACTGGTTAAAAGAAGGTTGCAATCTTACAGATGTGTAATTTTATTATCAGTAACTTTGTATGAGGCAAATATACAAACTAGCTACCATTTCTCTCTGCATGTACAGAAGATTTTGGTTTTGCCATGGTCACAAGATGTAGCACACCATAGAGAATAGACTGTAGGCCTCAACATTCATTTTTTTCATAACTTGAAGCATTTTTATTAAATAACCATCTTGGAATATAGAAAACTTTCAAATTCATATGAATAATTAACTCTCTATGTTGTCTTTAAGGCACATATTTCTATCCAAATTTCATTTGGGTGCAAAGGAGCAGTTGTGTATCAGACAGCAGCAGGTATCTGGCAGCTCAGTTTGTTAAAACTGTCCTTATGTCCATGGACTTCAACGAGAAGTATTGAGCTCACTGTCTGTACTGCAGTGTTGTGTCCCGATACAGCCTGTTTCATCAGTGTACTACTGCTCTTGGTCAACTTAGGCAGATGATTGTTGTCTTTGCAACACCCAGGAGCTATGATGTCCCGAGTCCACTCCTCCTGGAACCTGCAAGTGTAAAGGAAAAGTTATTTCTGTTTCATTTGCTCTGGTGAAGATACAGAACTTCCTCATCCACTTCATTTGCACATCAGTCATTTTGCAAACCTTGTGCTGTAACTCACTTCTCCTAGCATTAAAAGCAGTTGGCAGCAGTGGAGCAAATGACTGTGTCTATGTAAAAGCTGACGCAGACCTTGAGAACACTTGTGATGTTGCTGTTATTTGGGGTTGGGGCAGATGCTGTTTGCTTTCCATCAAATGAGTCCCCAGCTTCAATTTAATGCTATGTTATTTGGATTTTTACAAATACTTGAATTCTGGGACTGGTGTAGAAAGAAAATCTGTGCTTGGTTAGCAGAGCACTGCTGGGATCACAAGAGCCAGTTGTGCTCATCAGGATTTGAGGTGTTATTTGCAGAGCTGCCAGTGATGCTGATGCAGTGCAGTCACACCATGCCTTGTGCTAACCCTTGACTGCCCAGTCTGGCTACTGCCTGGCCCCCCCAGAAGGGACTGCAGGCTGAGGCTCCGCATTTCCAGCAGCTCTGGTGGTCATTAATTCTTCCCACACCAGGAAAGGAGATCTGCCAGCAGTGGGGAGACAGGCTGCAGCCCCAAGCAGCAAACCACCCAGAGGTGGATGGTGTGGGAAGAACAGTGACAGCCAGAGATGGCAGAATTCCTGAAGAGATGCTCAGTAAACTACACACAGGAAAATGAGATGTGGGATCAGCTTGTGTTTGCACGCTGCTGCTGGAGGCATGCTAGATACAGTGGGCTTTAAGCACATGGCTCTGTGGACCAGAAACAAATAAGACACGGCCCTTTGGGGTTTGTGCCAGATGACTCTGGTCTGAGCATGTGGGCTTTTGTAAAACACCATTTACTCCACAGCAGCTGCCTGCATGCAGGGCAGATGCTGAGGTTGCCTGCCCCACACTGACACCACTGAGCACAGCAGCCTGCACATCCTGCACAGTCAGGATGGGGTGGTCTTATCCTTTTGTACATGCAAAGCTGGTCAGGAAACAAGTTACATTCTGCAGTTATCTGCTGCAGAAAGCCAGCCAGCAGAAATGTTCCTACACAAAAAGTGCACATATATAGAAACCACAGGGGAATAACAGAAGATAAAACCAAATAACCAAGCTCTTGCTGTTCCGGTACTGAGTACAGATACATCTCCTGTAAAGGAGAATGAATCTTGCTCTTCACTGGAAAGCTGCATTACAAAACTATCTGGGGCATAAGCTACAGTCAGATAATGCAAAGGCATCTTAGAGCTCCTCTGCATTTGATGTAAGAAGACACTGTCATCTCAATATACTTATTGAGGTGGTGCTCAGATGAACAGAATTTACCCACCTGTAATTTGGATAACAAGCTCATCTATTTCTTAAAAAACCCCAGCCTGGTCATTTGGCACACTTTATGTTGACCTGCACTGTTTTAACTGTGTCTTTTATTCTTGGTGCACCAAAGCCCTCGGGTATCTTTGTGCTGGACACTAGAACACCTATCTGAGAACCCCTGTGCCTTGCCATCAGGGAAAAGAAAGCTACATGAGGTTACACTGCAGATCTCACTGCTGAAAGAAAATCTTCTGAGACACTTGCTACTGTGCATTTCTTATTTTTTAATAGTACATTGGAACTCAGTTCCTTCTTCTTGAGGTGGTATCAATAGTTACAAAATAAAAATGAAATCAAAAGAGCTTGTACAGGGAGAAGAACTGGGATAAGTTTAGCATGGGGTAGCCCCAGCCTTTGCAACTAGCCCTGCCAGGATTACAGTTCAAATCTGGGTGTTCTGGTTACGGTGCAATAAATATACTTTACCTGGGCAGAATTCATCCCATTCTGACTCTTTCTCCTATAAAACTCTGTACTGTGAATCTCTGCAATTACCCACAATCCACCAGCAACTCAAAAACCTCGACTGGCTAAAACTGTGCCTGGAGGACAACTATACTCCTGACTAAGCAACCTCTTCCTCCCATTTTGGGAACTATAAGTCTAGGATGAGGTGGCAGTAGGCACCCTCCATTCACTGCACTATGTTGAGCCCTGTGGATATCAGAAGGACAGTGAAGTCAGTGGAGTCCCACCTAAGTGGAGGTTGAGAAATGCTATTAAAAGGGCTGAAATGTCAACAGGGACAGATGAGCACACAGTGAGCTCTCCTCTGCCTACAAGGCTATCAGTCAGGACTGGCCTTCAGTCTGCACTTGCATCCTCAAGAGCTCTGTTCTTTGTCCTGAGTAAGTGTAAGTGTGTTTTTAACAAGTGCTTCAACTAACCTGAACTCCAGTTTGCAGGAGTTTCCAGGGCTATTTCAAATGTCATGGTAAGAGGATTAGAAGACCTCCCCGTGCTCTTATCTGGAAATGCAAACTCACCCAAGGATGCTAGGTGTGCAGTACATTTGACCAGGACAGACTTCATTTGACAGATAAAGATGGAGCTCCTGTCTAGGGAGAAGAGCAGCCACCAATGGGCTTTGGAGGATTCACAAGAATATTGATTGCTTGGTTACTTGAGAGCTGTTCCTAGCTGGAGGGGAAAACACAGTTAATGGGACATCTGAGAACTCACAGCACTGGGGCTACCACAGCGCTGCCCGGTGCTGGTACTGGGTCCAAGCACAGATTCTTACACTGGAGGATGGGAGGGGATTTTTTTGTTACTGTGTGTCTGGTGACTTTGTACAGGACCCTGGGGGAATCATGGAAGCATTATGAAAATAATAATAGAAGCTTTATGAAAAGCACATGTTGCTGTGCACACCCCCTTTGCGCTCACTGTGATGGCAATTCAGATGAGAATTCAGGAATCAGTCTTACTTAGCAGCTTGCTCTTCCACTCTTTGTGACAGGGCCCCGAGATTAAACCGCGGCTCACTTCTCCTGCCTGACTTCTCTTTGAAACATGCATGTCAAAAGGTGCTGGAAGACTTTAGTCTCTGAAAGACGGCGGTGGGGAGCACAGAGCACCACAATAACAAACTAGAGGAAGAAAACCCTCCATGAATAGAGAAGCTCAAGGTGGGACAACTCACAGGATGGGACGATCTATGTGAAAGCTTAAGAAGGAAAACTGCCTCTCTCCAGTCCCAAGTGCCACACAATCAACCACCACACATGTGAGGAACTGTATTCATTAACTACAGTTGTATCAAATAGGTCATTTGCTCTTTGCAGTCATGTCATCAGATGCTTTATATAGAGAAGTATTAAACATCGCAGTGACAATAGGTCCTGCATCTCCTCCTGCAGCCCAGGGAGCAGACACCAGTGGCTCTCTGCAATTGAAGCCTCGAAGCTGATCAGGGGTGGCCATATCCAACCTGCACAGACAAACAGTCCCGCACACGCACCACAGCCTTGGGCACCAGGAGCCCGTGGTGCTGAGCTCTGCACACCTGGGCTTCCAGGCCAACAGAAGCAACTTCTGACAGGAAGGCCAACCGTAAAAGCAAATGGGTGGATCTTCTAGAGGAGTGAAGTGTTGAGTTCTCTGTGAGACCGCTGGCCTTCAAAACCACACAGAGTGTTTTCCACAGCCCCTCTAACAGCCTTGCACTAAGTCACTGTTGCAGAAGATGCTTTGCCACCCTAATTCTCCCTCTGATGATATTCTAAGTGTCCTAGTGGGTTTTTCTTGCTCTATTTACATTTTCCATCCAGCTTTGCAGCAGCTTGTCTCTCAACAAAGGTATTTCTTCAAGTGTTGTCCACTTTCACTGTGGTAAATCAAATCTATATAGAGCCATAGAATCACAGGCTGGTTTGGGTTGGAAGTGGCCTTAAAGCTCCTCCAGCTCCAACCCCTACCACGGGCAGGGACCCCTTCCACTAGAGCAGCTTGCTCCAAGCCCCTGTGTCCAACCTGGCCTTGAACACTGCCAGGGATGGGGCAGCCACAGCTTCTCTGGGCACCCTGTGCCAGCGCCTCAGCACCCTCACAGGGAAGAGCTTCTGCCTTATGTCTAGGAAAGGCATCAGATCCTTCAGCTTTTAAATCTTTTCTACTTAGGTGGTCAGAGGAGAAAATAAGCTGGGAAAGTGGCCTCAAGGGGGCACAGGGCAAGGTAGGAATGCAGCCAAGTGTTCCATCCCATCTTATCCATACTGCTAGACAGTCCTTGGGCTTACAGCCATGCTCCTCAAGCAAGCCTGGACAGACATGAACATTTTTCAGAACAATATCAGTTTCTGACTTGCACCTTCCTTGCAACCCCTTACACAAGGTAGTGGAAAACTTCAACCATTATAGCCACTAAATCAAAGAGAAAAGGAAAACACATCTCATTTTACTGTGGAGGCCAAAGCTATGAGCTAATTTCACAAACCTTGCATATGGTTTTTGGACTGACTGCAAATGCTGAGGTGCCTCTCTTAAGAGTATCTGGATTTGGAGTTTTTTTCCAAAACCCTTTCACATGGACATTTTTGTTGTTGGATTGTCGTTACTTGCTTTTTGCCAGGTACACTTGTAAAGCATCTTGTAGTCAGAAAGGGCTCTGGTACAAACATTTCAGGTACTAAAAATATCTCTGTGGGAGAACACACACTCCTGTTTTTCTGCAGGAGAGATTTTTTTTTTCTTCTTGATAATATGCTCCAGCTGAAAGGAGGACTTCAAACCTACCGAGACATGGGCTTTTCCATTGGGCTCACTCCTGCAGTCAGATCAGCTACATGATAGAGAATGTTTTATAACTTGGCCTAGAGCTGTGTAAAATAATTCACCTCGAAACAGTCCAAATTTTGAATGCACAACTTATTCCACACGCTTTAACACCGGGGTGGGGTGCGGGGGTGGGAATTACCAAATTTCTTCGCTGCCTTCAGATGTATTTTCAAGCTGGACTGCTTTCTTTCTGGTGGTCTCTTACCTGACAGAGGATGAAAAGGAGTTAGTCCACGGCTAAACTCAGTTCTCCCTGTGGGTGGAAAACACTGGACCATCAATTCTCCCTTGCAAAATTAGAGCACTTCACTGTGT